TATATATTACATACATACGTGTATGTGTGTATATGATTTTGAATGTGGTAATAAAAGTTTAAGGGTGTAACAATTTCTTCATTATTTTTCTTCAAGCGTGGTACCTTTGATTTTATTTTTTATTATTTTTCTTTTTTTTTTTATTACCAGATTTGGCAAATTATTTCTATAAAATATTTATTGTATTATTATTATTATTATTATTATTATTATTGTAATTATATTTGAATGTAAGCTGGTTGATTAAGTTTTCTATAGGAATAGTTTCATACGTTTACAAATTAAAATGTCATCGCGCGTTTTCGTAGTAAAGATGGTATCATCAAATTTTCCCCATTACACAATTAGTACATCCAGAAATACCTGAAATTCGAGTAAAGTCAAGGTGTAATTTATTAAACAGCGTTTTAAACGTAAAAGCGCCGACGGCTTCTACTCTGGACGAGGATTGTAAGCACAAGGGAGGAAGAAGATTCATCGACTACTTCTCTAAAACTCGTCCTACTCGATTAATTATGGTTCTTTCGTAGTAAGAGAATTTCTCCTACGCCCTAAAAAAAAAAAAAAAAATAAATTCAAACTCAAGAAAGAAGCGTCTCGTTTGTGAAGTCCACCTATCCAATTAAATGTCAACGTTGGTGCAAATTCCTTGTTCTGACGACTAATCACCAACTTCAACTTATGATGTTGATAAAACACTGATGTGGAATCTCTGTCTAGTGATATTTCACTAGAAAATATCAAATGGTGGAAAATAAGAGAAAGAAATGGTAGAAGGTAAAAAAAAAACAAAAAAAAACCAAAAAAAAGAAAACAGAAAATACGACGATGGAAAAATAAAAAATGGAGACGAAAAATATAGAAAAAGAAAGCTAAAGAAAGAGTGAGAGAGTGAGAGAGAGAGAGATGAAAGATTCGCGTCGCAAACCCGGGACATGAATAAGCCAACGGGCAAAGGTGTGGTTCCCAGGCGTTCGCGGTAGGAAATCGCTCACCGGAGAAGAAAGATGGAGAACAGAAGGCAGGAGAGCGAACCAAGACGTGATTAATATAAAAGTGGGCGGAGCCAGGCTTGGCCGGAAGTGGCCGAAGAGGGATGCTGTGCTGTGCGCCAAGCAAGCGCGAAAACGGGGGCGGGGAAGGGTTTTGCACATCGCGCAAGTGTGGTTCCTGCTCTCCTCTTTAACGTGTTAGCGTGTGTGTTTCTATACTATCTATCTTACACTTATACACACACACACATATATATATATATATACATACATATATGTATGAGTATTCTCAATGCATTTACTTCCGTCTACCACGTAGATCGCATGTGCGTGCACCTACATAGATCTTCAAAGAAAACTCTTGGTGGGGATGATGCGAGAAATACGACGAGAAATACGACGAGAGACTTTTCATCCACCTACCCCTAAACTCTTACCAAACCCTACTCTATGGTTTATTTTACAAAAGTAATCTTTGATGCATTCAATAAATAAAAACAAATACCAATATTCATAAAATATTCTTCAAATTTGTAGAAAGCAGAGATGGCTGCTGCAACATTGGAGAAAAATGAAAAGAAAACGAAGACTGAGAAGAAGAGGGGTACCACAGGATTGGAGAGAATATGGGATCGAAGGGAACCAACAGGACCAGAAGCAGCCTTTTCGGAGACTAGAGGGGTGTAAGGGTTGACGCGTGGTGGCCAGGGGTGGTCAACCCCACCCGCTTCTTTAACGCCCCCAAGTAGGATAGGACCGCCTCCGTCTCCGCGTTCGTTCCACCTACTACACCCCGGGATTCCTGCACTCTCCTACCACCTACTACGCCATCCTAAGACCTACACCCCCTTCGTCTACTACAGGCACTAACCCCGGACCAACCACCACCCTCAACAACCAACCTCCCACTTGCCTCTCATCTTCTACTCAACGCGAGATGCTTGCTGCTACTACAGTTCTATCTTTTTATATAAGACAAAAAAATATATTTAACACGTTGAACGGCATGCCGAATTCTTAAGGAATTTCTCGTCAGGCCACGGGGGTTATTTTGTATTGAAAAAAAAAATAGTTGAACGTGTCAGTCATCTGTGACGGACGTGGTGCTCAAAGTGTTACAGAAAAAATGAAGTATGTAAAGACACGTTAGTAATTATTAAAAAAAAGTTCTTCATCGAAATAAAACAATAATATGAGTCGGATGAAGAAGCACTTAAGAAGATGATAGAGGGATGATCAAATTGGTATTCCAAGTAAATTGAACGAAAGATAAAGGGAGAGAAGGTTAGTCTGGTGAACGTTAGGATGAATCACGATAGCATTAGATAATTAGCATCAACTCCAGTCGACGTCATCCTACTACTATACGCATAGTTCCTACTGCCAAGAATTATTTTTAGGTAAAAATGTGTATACTGTTTCTGCACCTCTAAGTCGTGCTACGTATTTAGTTACTCTCGAACATATTTAATCTTGGAACGGCGTACCGAGATTTATTTCGGCGACCATTCTACTCGCCCCGTACACCCAATTCGTCTTGTCGAAATCGTTAAGCTGTCATTTCCACGAATTTCGCGGATATACTCGCGAACGAACAAACGATAGAACGAAACGATAGTAGGAAGAAGAAGAAGAAGAAGAGGTCTAAACGTTTTTTTAGAATTAGTTTCAAAGTAAAAAGAATTAAAAAAAAAAAAGAATATTATTTATCTACATTTGGCATCGATGTACACGATGAGATTTTCTTTTTTTTTTTTTTTTTATAGACATAGAAAAAGAGTCGAAGTAATAGAGAAAGGAGAGAATTGAAAACTAATCAGTATGATATAAAAAAGTACGCTTTGTCACGCGAGTAAAAGGGATGAACGAAAGGTTAAACAAAGATAAACCGTATTATCTCGTCTCAATCGTTTATTACCCTATCGCTTTAACTTTAACGTTGAACTTACTCTATCTTTCTTTCTTTCTTTCTTTCTTTCTATTTCATTTCTCTTTTTTTTTCTTTAGTAGAATGAAAAGAGAAAAAAGTTCAAAATGAAAACAACCCTGGATATACGATTACCGAAGTGACGAAGTTGACTCCGAACATTTGCATTCCTTCATTCGTAAAGTATCCAATCGATTTCTTTTGTCATACTCGCAAACGGAATCATTTGTTTGTCAGCATTAACCATGTAACCTAAGGTTTTTAAACGATCGTTCAGTTATCCAATGTAACTTGCTTTCGATCGATATTACTGTGACGTCTTCGAGCAAGGTCATTTTACGATATAAATGTGTTCTTTCCTTTGATAGCTAACACATAAGTTACCAACATTAATGTAATGAAATGCAATTATTAATTACAGGTATGTTGAATGTAATATTATGTGTGTATCGCAAACACCACGTGGGAAGAGAGTATTTAACCTTTTGAAGGGGTTTTTTTTCAGACATATGTTGTAGATTTTTCAATATTATAATAAATAATACAAATATGAACTTAAACAAATTTTAAAAACTATATTTTTTTTTTAATAAACATACAATTTTGGTATTAAATAAATCTATTAAACCATAAATAAAAATAAAATTATTAACCATAATAAAAAAATATAATATCAAAATTACAACCAATAAAATAGCATTTGCTTTAGGAAATTTATCTATCTAATTAATCCTAAATGAATATTTACAATAAAACAAATCAAAAATTCAACCTTGCAGATTAAAATATAAGCGAATTGAGTAAGGAAGCAATGAAGGTGACTAAAAAAAAAAAACAAAAAACTAAAGAAATAGAAGAAAAAGCTAAAAAGAAAGAAAGAAAGACAGACAGACAGACAGACAGAGAGAGTTTTTTTGTATAAAATGCGACGATTGAAGAAAAAAATTCTCGCGTTAAAAGTGTTTCGTAGTAGATTGGGTCAGGTAGTCAGTCAGACAGACAAGTAGTCAAAGCGACAGTCAGACAAATAGTCAGACAGGCAGGCAGGTGATCAGACAGACAGGCAGGCAGGCAGACAGGCAGACAGGCAGACAGGCAGGCAGGCAGTGCATTGAAGACGGAAGTAGTGTTGCAGGATGAGTAAGGCTACCTGGACGGGTCTCCAGCGTGGTTCCAGCATGTCCCGTTTCCTCCTCGACGACTCGCTCGTGGTTGCTCTCGTTCGTTGTTGCTCCGTCCTTCTCGACTCGCCAAAGGATAATCAAAGTAAAGGATCAAATGCTTTCTTCCTTCTTCTTCTTCTTTCTTCTTCTTCTTCTTCTGCTTCTTCTTCTTCCTTTTATTATTTTGATGTTTCTTCTTTGTCCTATTGGTGTCCGTTATCTTTCAGTTTAGTTCTGTTTCTCTTAATTTCTTCTATTTCCTTCTGCCAAGCCTGTCTTCCTCCCACCCACCCCCTCTCTCTCTCTCTCTCTCACTCTTTTCTCTGTCTTTTTACTACCACCTTTCTAAACTTTTTGATTTTTTCTCTTTCCTCTCTCTCTCTCTTTCTTTCTTTCTTTTTGTTGTTGTTGTTGTTCTTCTTCTTTCTCTCTCTTTCTATTTATTTCTATCAGAAACACCGCGCGTGCTGCTATCACCCTCAGCCACGTGTTTGCCGGCCGCCCAGCAAAAGAGAAACAGAAACTGTTACGAAAAATCGCTCAAAAGGGAGAGGAACGAAACAAAAAAATTATACAAATATTATAACAACCTTAATATATATGTATGTATATATATATATATAATTGATCGTTAACACCAATCAGTAAATGCAACCACTACTAGTTTTGTTTCTTTTCAAATTTGTCTCGTCGATATTATACCCCCAAACAATGTTTCAACAATAACGACGAAGAGACAACGACAACGACGACGATTACGATGACGATGACGACGACGATGACGATGACAATGACGACGTTACAGATGAATCCTCCCTTCAATCGTTTGCGATGAAGACAAAGACAACGATTAAACAGCCTCCTCTCTCTCTCTCTCTCTCAAACTTTGACGTCTTGTCAGACTATTTTGTTCTTATTGTTTATAATAAATTCTTTCCTCTTGATCCTTGTCCACAATTGTTGATACGATAGTTGATTAAAAAAAGAAAGAACAAACAACGTGACGAGAATGTTCGTTTCTAAACTTGTTTACTAAATGACCATATGCATATACAACATATATATGTATATATTATGTATATACATATATATATGTATATACGTGTGTGTATTTTGTGTCAGTGTTATATATATCTATATATATATATATGTTTATTTTTTTTGGTATCTTCCTCTCTCTCTCTCTCTCTCTCTCTCTCCCTCTCTCCTTGCTTCGTATTATTTTCTTCCTTTCTCGTATTATTTATTGTTTCTTATTATTATTATTTATTGTTGTTGTTGTTGATGTTGTTATTATTTGTTAGTGATAATATTATTAATAATATGCGGTGCCGATGTAGAATAAAGGGGGTACCGCGCGCCGGTGGGTGCCGTCGCGACTGTGCGACGCTCGGCGTCAGCTTAGCCGCGAAACCCTCCGGTTCTCGCGAACACGCGGCTACTGAGTCGGCGCACTGTGAAATTCGTTCCCGCTCCTATACCCATCTCACTCACTACCTTTAAACACTATCACCATCTCACTCTATCTCTTTACACAGTTTCCCCCACCAACAGACCACTTCGTTTATCTTCTTTGCGCCCTACCGACAACACACTCTCTCTCTTTCTCTCTCTCTCTCTCTTTCTTTCTCACTCACTCATATCTTCATATCTATCCCTTCTTCTCTTTCTTATCATTTTATTATTCTTTCCCCTCCCTCCACACCCAACCCATTCTTCTCTTCACCCTTCTTCTTCTTCTACTTCTTCTTCTACTTCGTGTTTTTTTTATTTCTGTTTCTGTTTGTTTTATCTTCCAGCTTATTTTTTTTTTATATTTGTTTATTTATTTAATGGGATATGTGTGTGTGTGTGTGTGTGTTAAATAAGGTATGTTGGTTAAAATTAATTTAGGTTTTTTTTTTTCTTAGGTATGTTTAGGTATTTTGTATTATTTTTTTGTTAATTATTTTATTTGTCGTATTTCTTATTCTTAATTTTTTTATTAGGACTTCGTCCTGTTATATACTTGTATTATTTGTAGTAATATATTGTTATATATATATAAGGGCTTTATTATTATTATTTATTTAATGGGAAATATATTTTAAACAAGGTATTTTGGTTGGAATTAATATTATTTTTTTTTTTACGTAAGTCTATGTATTTTTTGTTAATTATTTTATTATTAACTTAGTACTTACTTATTTAATGCTTATTTAATTGTCAATTCAATAGTTTATTAATAAAATTGTAATTAATTATTATTATATATAATTTTTCAAAATCAATCCCTTATATATAAAATCTATCAAAAACCAATCAAAAAAGACATGAATATTAGAAATAATAAAATTCTGTAATAAAATTCTAGAAAATATCAAATTGTTGTATCAAAAATTGCAGAGAGAGAGAGAGAGAGAGAGAGAGAGAGAGAGAGAGAGAGAGAGGTAAGAAATTTCTAATTAAAAGATAACGTAAGGTGTGTGGGGGTATCTAACAAAACGTTTTATATTTATCTTTAGTAAAAAAAAAAAAAAAAAAAAAAAAAGAAAGAACGATTAGAAAGAAACACACACACACACGTTAGGACGTAGGAATTGTAGAAGAGAGACGTCGGAATAGGTCAGCTTTAGTCTGGTCTTACGAGTAGGTCGAATCGATAACAATAACTACATGGATGTCTATACTCAGCTACGGTAGATACGTCCACCCCTTGGGCATGAAATACCTCGTGTTAATTCGATTCTATCTATCGTATGATAGTATTAGTGTCGTGATTCTTTTTTAATCGTCTGCTTTGACGATAAGCAACGATCACACCACAGTAATATCAAATACTAACAAACTAAATTTGATTTCAAAAATCTCATAGATATTTTCTATTCATATTATTTATATTTATATATTATATTGAAATATTCTTTAAATAATTAAATAATTAAATATTTATCAATTATAGGATCTTTGAGGTTTTTACAATTAAACAGTGTTAGGATTGCATCAAAATTGCATCAAGATTGCAATTAATTTGTTAATTTTTCTAACAAATCGTTTGCTTTGACGATAAGCAACAACGATCACATCAGAGTAATATCAAATACTGACAAACTGAATTTGATTAAAAATATCTCATAGATATTTTCTATTATTATTATTCATATTATTTATATTTATATATTATATTGAAATATTCTTTAAATAATTAAATAATTAAATATTTATCAATTATAGGATSTYTGAGGTTTTTACAATTAAACAGTGTTAGGATTGCATCAARRTTGCATCAAGATTGCAATTAATTTGTTAATTTTTCTAACAAATATTAAGAATAGAAATGTTATTAAAATCGTAGATAATAAACAATTGCATTAAAAATTAAATAAAAATATAAATAAAAAATCTATTAAGAATATATCAAATGGGATTCGTTAAATAATTCGATGTGGACTAATAAACTCCCTCTCTCTCTCTCTCTCTCTCTCTCTCTCTCTCTCTCTCTCTTCATATAAATAATTATAAATAAAATTAAACATATTAACTACTGTAAAATTTAAAGACACACACAATATACCTCTTAAATAATAATAAACATGATTTTATAATAAAAATCGTAACTTTAAATAACTTGTACTTATTAAATAATATTTTTGTATATAAAATACACTTTACACTGTTTTACTGAATAAAAAAAAATAAATAAACCACGAACATTGTGTTAATTGAAAAAATTCTTATAAAAAATCATATAATAAAAGAGAAAGAGAATGTACCAAAGAGAGAGAGAAAGAGAGAGAGAGAGAGAGACAGAGAGAGTGTGTATATGGAAAATGTGATAGGCAAGAGATCGAAACTGTCAGAGCAGCTATATTCGGAATGATAACAGATGGTGTGAGGTATTGGAGGACACAATGCAGAGAAAACAGGTCGCTCGTAAGGACTTTGAATCGACTAGTTTGTTGTTGTTGTTGTTGTTGTTGTTGTTCGTTATTTCTGTTCGTTTGACTGGCCAGGACAATGTCGAGCGAATACGACTAACGCGTTCACATTGATAACGATTCCTAATGGAACGAAAAATAAAGAGAGAGAAAGAGAGAGAGAGAGAGAGAGAGAATAAGTGAGACAGACATATTCGAAATATCACGATCGAAGATATCAACACACTGCCCTATTTTCCAAGAGAGAGAGAGAGAGAATGAGAAATAGAAAATCTTAACTTAAAGTATGTAATATGATTTCATTACTTAATGTAAGTAAAATCTAATGTAATTTGAAATATAGGATTATTAATTTGTATAAACTTGTCTGTAATTTATAAAAGTTTGTTAATATTATTGATAATAATATTTTTATTTGTATTTATTTTATTAATTGTAATTTAAATTAGATGCTTGTTTGATTAAAATATTAATTGTACAATATTTTTATTATATTTTATTTTTCATTTATTTTTCATTTTTAATTCAATTATCAAAAAATTATTAGCTATTTATATAATAATAATTTATTGTTATTTGAATTAGGTGGTATGCAATTTTATAAACTTGCATCGAACCAATATATATTTTTTAAAAAATAATTTACGAATATTATATCAAAATATTAGTCCGTAATATTTTTATTATATTTTATTTTTAATTTATTTTTCATTTCTAATTCAATTACCAAAGAATTATTTATAATAATTATTTATATAATAATAATTTATTGTAATTTAAATTACATGTTATGCAATTCTATAAACTTGCATCGAACAAATATATTTTTTTTAAAAAACCAAATTTTTATCTTATAATCCAAATACATATATATATACAATTTTTATAATATCCACCTATCCAAAATAAAAACAACAAATTTCAATTTTAATTAACAACTATAATAATCACCAATTTATAGTCCACCCTGTACACTAAATACAGTACACTAAATATATATATATGTGTATAAGAAAGATAGAAACAACAACAACAACAACAGAAAAAGAAACGTTTACTAAATATTATAATAAATGATCAAAAATTCGAATAAAAGAAAGAAAAAAAAAAGGGTTAACAAACACAATTCATTAAAAACTTCTTCCTTCCTTTCTTTCTTTATTTCTCTAGTTATTCTCTCTGTCTCTCTCTCTCTTTCTCACTGTGTCGTCTTTCTTTCTCCGTTCTGATTTTCAAAGCAACCGAGAGAAATTCAACGAAATATCGCGCAAACACGGCGTCATACTGATGAAAAGATTGTCAATAGCCGTCCAACACCTGTTGCACGTAGTTTAGCGACGGATTTTATTCTCACGCGTACGCCCCCGCTTGTATTCGTTTATTGGCCTGCGGATTTCACGGTTCGCGA